TGCTACTGTTCAATGGAACTTGTGTAGCATACAAGCAAAATTAATCATCTTCTAATGTCTTGGCCACACCATCCATCAGAAGTAGAACCTGTTTGTTAAGTACTCAACAATAATAAACATTAGTACAATAATATTGTTTATACAAACATACTCATTTATTAACATCAAAACTCAGAGATAATATTGCAGAACCAAATCTTGTTCTTACAGAAGTCACTGGAGTTTGTTCTTACAATTGCTATACACAAATATTAGATAAGATGTTTGATCCTATTTTTGTGTCTTGATTTGTGACCAATGATATGAGTTATGAACACAGTTGTGACCTGTGTTCTGAGTTACCCATGGTGGTGGTTGGATACTTCTTTAGTTTCCTCTTATGCCACAAATTGACCGGTGGTTGCTTCATGGTCCTCTTTTTCCACCCGTTAAAAGGAATATCTATTCATCTATGACAAGAATAGGTTCCTGGGTTGAGGGGGAGTGTAGACCTATCATCTTCCTCATCTGGATTGGGTACACCAAATGACTTCAGGACTTTCTACTCCTTTTTCAGAAGGTGATGTTCTTTGGTGATGGGTTTGGTACTACAATGGATCTGTCATGAAGATGATGTCGAATATGATGTACCAACATCATTGTGCTTGTGAAGACTGTCTCCATGTTATTGTGCTGCCGAGTTCATTAGTTTCTGAGGACTACTGTTGGTGGATCTTTTTATGGGGTTAGCATTAATGTACCAATGTTAAGTGTTGATGTACAGACCATGCTCTAATGCCAACTAAATGTGAGAAAAACACAAGAAGGGTGTTGAATTGTGTTTTCTTTTTCTTCCCTTTCTCCTGAAATACTCTTATCAGATTCTGAATAAGAGATCAGAATCTGAGTTAGAGTCTCATGAGTAGCAGCAGATGAAACAATAAGAGTTACATAAGAGAGAAAGAGAGAACACAAGCAATTATCCTGGTTTTTCCCATAGATTAGGAGCAGTCTAGTCCTATTGCACTTCTAAGGGATTTTCACTATAACTAAATATGACTAGAAATGCTCAAGTACACAAGCAAGAGACTTCTAAATGCTCTAACACACAAGTAAGAGACTTCAATGATCAAGAACACAGGAAAGAAACTTCAAAAATCTCAAACAGAGAAGCAAGAGACTTCAATGCTCAAGCACACAAGCAAGAGACTTTTGAATTTATAACAAATATTTATGATATTATGATAAACTAAACTTGATATACAATCAAAGTTGTAGATATAATATAACACAAAAAGGACTATAAGACTTAAGAACTTCTAATAATATACAATTGGTAAGAAGTTCTAAGTTAAACTTGTACTATAGATTTGAAAGAGTAATATCTCTTTGATTGTTAAGACACAATGTTGTATATTTCTCCAAGTTTTTCAGCTCTTTTTATAAACAGAAACCAATGAGATGTTCGAGAAAAATTATTGCACAAGTGAGTCTTAAAGAGAAGCATTAGCAGATCTGGTGGAAAGCTTCTTGATATGGTTAATGTCGCTGAAGTTCCATTTGAAACTCATTTTCTACAAGAGGAATTATCAGTTTCATTCCATATGTCTTATATGAAATTTCTACTAAGTATTCTCGTGATTAGAAGAGGACAAAAAGCCTTCAGATCCTGGTAGTGAACTATTAGTGTTTCTTCATTCTTGGGCTTTGACTGACTTCAGGTTATGATTTTTTAGAAGATGAGTCTTAGCTTTTGATCCTTCAGACTCTGAGTCTTCAGGAGTTGAATTAGTCTTCATATGCTGACTTGATTAGAGTCTTGGATATACAAGTTCTGATACTTGACCAGGTTCAGACTCTGAGTCTTCAGGGTTCTAATCCTTCAGAGGTTGATTTTCTTCAGATGTTGGCCTCCTTCATAAGCTGATTCTTCAGAATCTATATCTTAAGAATTCTCTTTGAATAATCAGTGAAGTTTCAAAATTGACTTTATGTCTAAATTTTAATCTATGTTCCTGCACACTTGAACAAATGTCAGTATACCCAATTGTTTTTTAAATACTTTGTCATCATCAAAACCTTAGGGATATGGTACAAACCAATTTTGTTCCAACATTAACCTTACAAGCTAGCATTACAATAATTTTTCTTAACTAGAACTTCCACTAATTGGGTTCAATAATTAATTGAGTCTACCTACCTTCACTCCAGGCCATTATAACTTCCATACGAAGGATATCAGACACCATCTCACGCGTCCTGAGAAAATATTACTATTTTAAACACTTTTATTCTTTTCTGGACAATTTCATTTCTTACTATGTGTCTTAATGATTCTGGCTCTCTAGAAGCTTATGCGTTTGATGGGATAATCTATATTCTCTCTTTAGGTTCACATTTACTTCTCTTTGTGTCAAATTCTCTGGGTTTGAAGATCCTACATTCTTATTCTCGATCCTTTGATCTATAAATGTTTGTGCATAAGTCGAGTATTCTATAAATCCTATTTCTATAAGCTCCTCTCAATATTTCCAACTTGGTTTGTTCAGTCCATGAACACCTTGGATCATCCTCTACATTAGGTGTTACTAAAGTGGTGTGTTAGACAATCTCAACCATTAACAAAAGTTTCCAAACCCCTAGTTTAATCAACACCTGGCTTGTCGATTCCTTCTCTTAGGTGTTGAGGTTCATAGTAAGGATATTTTCCATTGGCCTCCCTCGAATCTCCGTTGCACGATGGTCATCAAGAAAATTAATAATTGATTTTCACAATTCAACATGACGAATTTTCTGTCACCACATCACTTCCCCAATAATCTTCCATGAATGTCCTACCCGACTGAGGCTATAAGATCTTCATATTAAACAAAATTGTTAAGATGATCAAACTTAATGCTTGATTATCTGATATTTGGATACTACAAGAACAACCAAGTCAGACCTTAAGCGCATCCTAATCTTAGCTACTCACGACACGATCTACTCAACCGCCTGTGATACAAAAATGTAACACCATATAACCAGTCAAATGAAGGACCTACATCAATCGAATATGGTCCAAAGCACCCTTGTGGGAAAATATGATGTAGTCTCCAATATGTCTTGGTCCACCCAATTACTTGAGATATCCCTATCGACCCTCTTGGCCGAGTTTGACACAATATTTAGGATTAAATGTGTTATGAAGAATAACGAATATATATAAAATATGGCAAGCAAATAAGCTAAAAAATATCACCCTTGGAAGAAAACACCAACAATAGAAGAAATATCCATGGAAAGAAGGTAAGAAATCAAGTGTTCGCTATTCTGGAAACCCTAGAAAAGGGGAGTAGAAATAAAAAAAAAAATGTTGAACTTTGTCTTAAATAAGATGGAGCAATCAAACATGTATTCCTTGCACCAACGAACAAGATTGTATGAACTTGATTAAATGTCATAGCAAGCACGCTCATAGGGAAGAATGACAAAGGAAATAGAAAGAACTCGTTTACAAGTCATTAACAGTAGAAAATGTAAAATGAGTCTTCAAAATCCTTTTATACCCAATTCATCCGCTAAGGATTGTATAATATAATTTGCACCACCAATGATTGAGATTTCTTTTTTAAAAAAATGGTTCAAAAACACTCAAGTGCTCTAAAGGAGAGGAAACATCACCACGAAACTAGTGTAGGGAGATGTGCGTGTCACTCCTAGTGGAATGTTACAACTTAAAAGAAAGGAATTTAATGCACATATTCCTAATAATGATGATGTTCCCTTGCAGACTTCATGTTCCTGGATTTTGTGGCAGAGTAAGAGTACGTATCACAAACCCCTTGTTATGGACTTAGGGGAGAAACTATTTGGGTCGCTCACATGGCCCAAGGAAAAGGCCTATTAATGAAGCAACAAAACATTAAATGATGAATAGGTAATTGCATGCAATGTGTCTTGCTAACCATCTAGATCAATGTGACGGTTGACCACAACTCACGCCTCACCATACGCTTATAGTTGTCAACCACTTCTCCTATTTATAGAAAAAAATCATGTCATTTGTCAAATATTCAAATCATTTCTCATTCATACACCATTATTCACTCTCATACTAACGTGAATATTCAAGTGTTAATCTTCCAAGTGAACTCCCTCTCCACCGCGTTGAAAACTCAAAACTACCACAACAAGCTATTCATTTTTACTTACCAATCAACTTTAGTTCCGCTATGAAACATTATTTGTTGATCTTGAAAATATCGCATTCACCTTTATAAGTTCATTACATTTAGAATAATGAAATATAATCCACATAATTCTTGTATCATCCTTTGTCTTTGTCTTGAGCTCAAACTTACATAGCCTTATTTTTCCATCAAAGTCAATCATAGTTGAAAAGTAATCAACCTTAACCACTTTTTATTGTCACATGGTGTAAAAGATTCTCGAAAAAGGGAAGGGCGGATAGGTCTGTTTGTCATCCTACCATATTTCTGTTTACTATTAAAATTCGGTTAAATATCAACACATTCCCCAAAAAATTGATATGATTTGCATCGAATATTTCAAAAAGCTACGATTTTTTTAATTGATTCATGGAGAGCAATTTATTTAAAATTTATGAGAAGTAAATTATGAGAGAATCAAAATTAACATTTTTAAAATCCTTGGGGTGTCAGGGTAACTTTGATGGTGCCTAATTAATTGCTCATCCATCTATGGCCGCCCAACGTGTTTGACTATGTTCTTGAACTGCTGCCCAAATTGATTAGCTTCACCTTTTAGCCTTTTAACACTCTTGTAGCAATTAGAAAAAAATCTTACTATATATTATGAACCTCCTTTCCTTATGCAATTAGATCTAGAACAAGTTGAAAACTGCAAGTAATTTTGCTACACAAAATATAACATATATTTTGCACAATTGATAACCTATTTTTTGGCTTTATGATAACATAAGAAGACAATTCAATAACACCAAAGTGTTGTTAAAGAGAGAAGGAAAAAATAAAAACATACCAAAAATAAACAAGAGATTAAGCAAATTTTGAAAGAGAGATCTCTTTTCCAAGGTAGTTGAGTGAAGAAGGATTAACTTGCATGAACAAGTAGTTTCCAGCAAAAAGATCACCAAAATGAACATGTCCATCTTTAAATCTTTTCATAACTTTAGCACATGAAATTCTCATGGAAGAAACCACTTTGGCTTTCTTCCTCCAAAGTCTTCTCAAGCTTGGTATTTTCAGCTTGAATCTTCTCCTCATAGGAATCTTTCGAAACCTTATAAAATTCCTTGGTCTCTGAATGGTGATTCTCTCCCTTTCATCATCAGACCCAACTTCATGTCTCAGCTTTTGGTAACCAAGTTTGTTAACAGACATCATTTGAATAGAAGACATGGTTGAAACTTTTTTGAAAAAATTAAGAAACTAAAAAGAAGAGAAAATTAAAATTAAAAAAAAAAAACTAACTTGTCCTTCTTAATGAGAGGATATATATTGTTTTATGAGATTTGTGATATGATCTAGTTAAGTTTGATGGATTGGAATGGAGAGGTGAGTATGAAGAAGTTGTTGAGTGTATTAAATGCAAGATGAAGAGGTTGTTGAGTAATGAGTGTAATACAGTATATTTTTACATTTTCTTAAAATGAAGAGTTTTATTTATTTCACATTTCAGTTATGTACCTATCTAGTTAGGAAGGTTCACACTGTCTTAATGAGCAAGTCTATTTTATTTCTTTTCCAAGTATTACCTTATATCGATGATGAGGCACGTATCTTTATTTGTGGCACTAGAAATACTTACTTCATTGTTTGTTACTAAAGATAATGCTAACATTTTGTCAAAAAAAGATAGTACATAAATGAGAAAGATGATTTTACTAAAATACCTCTTTTTTTTATTAAAATACATTTGTTTTTGGAATTTTCTTATCTCATTCCACATGAAAATGGACACCATATGCAATTCTGAAATTGTTTATCGGAAAATCGAAAATGTATTTTTGGTTCACATTATATTTTGCATAAAACAGATTAAATGTGGTTTCACCTTTCAAGATGCAAAAAATAGTATTGGAGGTATACTTCTGATTCTAAATCGGAATTCTGTTTTCGGTTCTATTAGTGAGAAGAGTGAATTTTGTTGCTACCTTGACATTTCATATATATAACCGAAAGTATAATTCCGGTTTTATGGACGATGCAGGTTACTTAAAATAGTAACCAATATAGTCATGTTTGATCACCACCATTTCTTTTTTCTTTTCATAAAACCTCTAAAAAACCCTCATCATTCTCAATCCATTTTCCACTCCAAATCGTCATTTTATGGTTCATCATATCAGAAAGAGCTCAAGAAAGTAGAATTTCAGATAAAATTTATTCATTTCAACCCTCATTCCCTACATTAATTTGTTCTTTATTGTAGAAAAAGGTTACGTACAAACTAGATGTATACTTCTGATTGTTAGTTGAACAAAACCTGAAGTTAATTTTTGGTTTCTGTCTGTATATTTTGACAGCAATCTGGTAATGTGACAAGTTAATAAGTTTTGTGTTTTATCTAACATTAGGTATGATGCACCCCGATAACAGTCTCAAACCTGATGTGTCTCAAATTATTTCGCCTCTTGTAGCTTCTCCTCTCATAATTAAGGTGGTATATGTTCGTGAGCAATTTGAAAATGTAGAAGAATTTGAATTACGTGAGGACATGTTGTAGTGGATTCGTATAGAGGCTATGGAACTAGAATTTGGTGTTCTTACTGGAAGGTTCGATAATGATATGGATAAAAGAAATACATTTGTGATTTTGACAAGCGAATGAAGTGGAAAATACATACGTCGTATCCAAAATTTGAAACGCAACAACACCATTTCAAGAAAATGTGAATGTCCATTTGGGTTGCGTGGTTATCTTATGGAAAATAAGAAATGAAAATTTAATGTGCTATGCGGTTTACACAATCATGATTTAAGTCAAAAGTTAGCCGGTCATCCAATTGCATGTCGGCTCCTTACGGATGAGAAGACATGTGTCTCTTATATGACTTTGAATTTGGTATCGTCCAAAAACATACTTGCAACCTTGAAGCGCAAAAGACCAGAGAACACATCAAATATCAAACAAGTTTACAATAAGCGTTATCAAACCAAAATAGCGCTTAGGAAGGATCGAACCGAGATATAACACCTCTTGAAACTTCTAGATGAAAACAATTATGTTTGTAGGCACTGACGAGGTGATGATAGGGTAACAATAAGAGATATTTATTGGACTCATCTTGATTCCATTAAACTTTTCAATACATTTACCATCGTCCTCATAATTGATTCAACGTATAAGACCAATAAGTACAAACTTCCATTATTGGAAATTGTTGGTGTTACGTCGACTGAGAAGACGTATTCTGTTAGTTTTACATTTCTAGGGTGCGAAAAAGATGACATCTTTTCATGGGCTTTAGAGGTTTGTAGGTCAATGTTGAAGGATCAAGAAGATATGTCGAAAGTCATTGTTATCGATCGAGATACATCATTCATGAATTCGGTTGCAACTGTATTTCCCACTTCTTACGCATTACTTTGTAGGTACCATATTACTAAAAATGTGAGAAGTCGGGTTAAACTCACGGTGGGGATAAAACAGGTTGCAGGTGAAGATGGAATGTTATAATAAATGCATCAACAAAATAGCTATACACTGGTGCTATTTTACAGTTCAGAAATGTTTGCGTGAAATATCTCGATCTATTGACATATGTTAAAAGCACAACTCTTGATCAAGTTAAGGAGAAGGTTGTTTATGCCTTGACCGATCAGGTTATGAACCTCGGTAATACATCAACAAACCGAGTTGAGTCTGCGTATGCATGTCTGAAGAATTGGCTGGGAAATAGAAAGGGTGATTTGATTACGGGTTGGGAATCTGTGAACCAGATGCTACTAAACCAGCATAAAGAGTTACAAACAATATTTGGTTGTAGTATCACGGTGTTGGAACACAGGTTCAAATACAACACGCTATATTCTCAGTTGGTTGGTAACATATCTCGGGCAGCTCTGACTTATATTTTTTACGAGGCCAAACGAGCTTCTAATATAGGTTCTGACAGCTCAAAGTGTGGTTGCACAATTGTGAAAACATATGGTCTCCCTTGTGCTTGTGTCATATCTAAGAAGATGAAAGTTGATAGCCCGATACGTATGGATGAGGCTCCGGTTATTGGAAGAGACTAAGTTTTGACGATGACGGTAAAATGAAAACCGATAAATCAAATATCTCCATCTTGATCGAATGAGAAGCGATACAAGAAATATTTTTGAAAGTCGATGACACCACCAAACTCCACATCAAAGAACAATTGAGGAAGATTGCATTCTCGGAGACTAGAGACTTGAAACTACCATCCCAACCAATAAAAACTAAAGATCACCTGAGAAGGTGAAACCGACATCGGGCGGTAGTTCAACTATGAGGAGTCCTTCATATTTTGAACATGTTGACAATGTTTTTCCCGATTCACCTACACCAATATCTCAAAAAAGTGCTTTTAAAGGAGCATGTATTAGCAAACCACATCCTACACTGACTCCATCTAAAATACCATTCATAGATCACATGCCGGTTTTTATGCACAAGTACATTGAATGAATCGTCAATGTTGGGGGTGACGGTAACTGTGGTTTTCGAGCTGTTTCTGGTTTGCTCGATAGAGGGGAAGAGTATTACCATATTTTCTGAGATACCCTGATCAGAGATTTGACAGGCAATAGAGAATTATACACATGTGTGCTATGGAGTAAAGAGAAGGTTGAGGAAATATATCATGCACTTGTACCTCTCAAGGTTGGATTTGCACCAGAGGATAAATGGTTGCACTTCCCTGAAATGGGTCATCTCATAACAAGTGTGTAAACGAGGGTGTCTATTAGTCTTATAAGATACGGTTTCTTTGAGACTTATTTCCCTTAGCGCATTGCTCCAACACCAAATCTCAATGGTCGTATCATATGTGTTGGGTGGGTTTCAAATTCGTGGCATTTTGTTCAAGTGTATTTGAAATCGGGATGCCCTATACCACCTACATCACCAGAGTGGGCGCTTCATTTCACAAACTCATCTGAGACCTGGCTGGACCAATTAATTGAAAGGATGCAAGAATACAACAAGTTGAACCAAATTGAAATAGAAAAGAAATAGGGAAAAGTCAAAAGGGGTGCCACCGATGGATTTATCCGATGACACTTTTTTGGCTCATTCAAGTAGTTAGGTATCATTTTATTGTTAACATCATTTTGTTCATGTATTATGATATGGAAATATAGCCAGTTTTGTAGTTTGACCAAAAATACAATATTTGAATACACGAGGCTTTTTTATTAGAGTTGTTGTTTCTGTTATGTTTCTGGTTTTTCACTCACAGGGCTTCAACCAGAAATATACTTTCGGTTCCATTTAATAAAAAACCAGAAATTAATTGTCGGTTCTATCACTGACACAGAGATAGGTGTTGTATGGTTCATGTTTATCTCCAACTACTATAAAAAACCTCACTTCTTATATTTTTTCATATCACAACACCAAAAATCAGAAATGAACATGAAATTGAATATCAAATGGCATGTGGGAGTTTCCCATTTTACCGGCGCTACATCATATCGCGAATTTAAGTTCACCGTGTACACCCCTATTGAAGATGTGCGTGAAATATTGCAGGAACTTGTACCTTATGGCGACGATCGCAAGGTAGTGAAGATCGAGTACCGCTCGCCATCGGTTGGCAAAGATGGGAAGCTTAAGTTCATCAACCGTGAGTTGAAGAATGATGCTAATTTACAGGCTATGTGGAATACTTTGACATTTTTGAGGAGAAAGTTTCGATCGAGCTAGATGCGACTATAACAAGATTGATCGATGATATTATCATGATGTTGCAACGTCCACCTGAACGTTGATTTGTAATATTTGATTTATGTTTAACTCCTAAATGTATTTGTTATGTTTATGTTATGAATTGAAATGTGAGATTAATGATGCAATTCAATAATATTTTCTGATTTCTGTAAAGAATAAAACCAGAAATACGCCTCTGATTCCAAATCAGAATTAAATTTTTGATTTCTATATATACTTTATCAAAACTAGGTGTGCACCAGAAATATACTTTCGATTTTAAAGGGTATTTATTGAATTTCATGTGATGCGTAAGAAAGTCATAGAATAGATTAAAAAATTCAATTTATTTTATAGTTGTTAGGTAAAATGTCTATTAATGTATAGTAAACTGACATGCCAATGCTAAAAAAAGTGTGATATATACAATTAAAATAATTTTTTTTATAAATTGAAATATAGTTTAGCACAAATCAGAATTCAAAAGTTGTTTCAACGA